TTTCTCAGAGAGTTGCCTAATTTTCTCTTTTTCTAGTTCCTGAGGGAAAAAGCTATGGCTTCACTATACAGCTGGGCTGTGTAGCCCAGCCTGGCCCCAAATTCTAGATGCTACTGACTTGTCCTCTTTAGTGCTAGATGATAGGCATGTTCCAGCATGCCTGCTTAATATTTAACATACCTAAATGTATAATACAGTTGTCATAATTATATACATGTCCTTTTTAAAAAAAAAATCCTAGTTCTGTTATCTCTTGCCTATTCTGGTCTCTTTCTTTCTTTCTTTCTTTCTTTCTTTCTTTCTTTCTTTCTTTCTTTCTTTCTTTTGTTCTTTCTTTCAAGATTTATTTATTTTATGTATGTGAGTACACTGTCACTCTCTTCAGACACACCAGAAGGCATCAGATCTCATTATAGATGGTTGTGAGCCACCATGTGGTTGCTGGGAATTGAACTTAGGACCTCTGGAAAAGCAGTAAGTGTTCTTAACTGCTGAGCCATCTCTCCAGCCTCTGTTCTGGTCAATTTCTATTGAATCTTCATGGGTTTTAATATCTTGCTTTTGGATTCTAGATGCCCTTATATTCTTATATACCTTATAAATATTCCTGAAGTCACAAGATGCAGAGAAAAGTCTACCCTAAGGTAATTTTTCTCATTAGCAGCAAAATAACATTTAGGAGCCAGACAGTTCTTTGTTTGCAGAGAGATGATTCTAGTACCCCATAGTTTTCTGCTGTTTTTTGTTTTGAGACAGGGTCTCTCTATGTAGATCTGGCTGATCTGGAACTGGCTATATAACCAGGCTGGCCATGAACTCATAGAGATCTACTTGCCTCTGTCTCCTGAATGCTAGGATTAAAAACATGTGCCACCATCATTCCTGGCAGATTTTTTTTTTTTTAAAGGAGGCTGTCTTAGGATTATCATTGCTGTGATGAAGCACCGTGATCAAAGCAACATGGGGAAGAAAGGGTTTATTTGGCTTATACCTCTACATTATTGTTCATCACTGAAGGTCAGAACAGGAACTGAGACAGGTTAAGAACCTAGAGGCAAGAGCTGATTCAGTGTGCTGCTTACTGGCTTACTCTAATAGCTTGCTCTGCCTGCTTTCTTATAGAACCCAGAACCACCAGCCCAGGGATGACCCCACCCACAGTAGGCTGGGCTCTCCTCCATTGATCACCAATTAAGAAAATGCTCTACAGGCTTGCCTTTAGCCCAGTCTTTTGTGGAGGCATTTCTCAGCTGGGGTTCCCTCCTCTCAAATTACTCTACCCTGGGTCAAATTAGATAAAATTAGGCAGCACAGAGGCTCTCACTATGTAGTCCCTCCTAAATTCTATCTCTCTGTGTGGTTCACTCTGGCCTTGAAAACTGTCATCTTGACTTGGCCACCAGAGTGCTACGGTTATGGTATGTACCACCACAGCTGACAGCATTATAAGATTTTACCAGAGTCTCTAGTGTGATGCTGACCACCCAAGTGGTGACCATAAAGAATATATCCACATGCTGACAAATATCCCTGGAAAGTGAGGAGAATTAGCCTTAGTTGAGAACTATGGTTTAGATTTTATTTTGTCCCACTGTTTTTGTTGTGTGTTCTTCCTAAAGCTCCATGTATTGTGAGTTGTTGTTCAGTCTGATTGGGATAGGCTTTTTCTTGTCCATGTGTGAAGTTAGGAAACATTTTGGATGGTTTCTTTTCCATCTTGACACATGCGTGTTCTGATGAGTATTCAAGGGAGATCCCTCTGTGGATTTCTGCATGTGTCCATCTGAGTGTCCGTAGTATTCAGCCCACAAATCCAGCCACACTGATGAGTTTAGCTCAGCTCAACATGTCTGCTAGGCCTTTGCCCTCCTGTGTTTCTTATCTTATGACTCTCCTGGCTTAAACGCTTTTGAGGCATTAAGCTGAGGTAATATGGGCCCACCTCATTTGTTTACTGTCAGGGGTGAGGGTAGCTGATGGTCCAGCATTTTGAATTGTTTTTTTCCCACATATTTTATTTATCGTTTGATTATTTCAAATCAGAGAGTAAAATTTATTTTGCTTTTATATCTTGGCCAGAAGCAGCAGCCCTGCTGATAATTGATATGAATCTATTATTGGTTAAAATGGAAAGCATCCCTGAGTATTTATTGACCAAACTTCATTTATTGGTTTGTATAAAACCTGTAATCTGACATGTTCTTTGTTCAAAGTCTTCTGTTCCCTGCAATTCGTGTGGTTCAACCTGACTATTAAATGGACCCTAAAGCTTACTATTACTATTTTTAATATTCCTCTTTAATACATGTTCTCACAGTTGGAGCTAAATATTGGTTACTGTAGCCCTATAACTATTAGGTAGCAGCTCACAATTAAAGGACATGCACTAACCTGATGAGGCAGAGCAGTGAAATGTGTCATGCTTTTAGGGCATTCCCACAGCAGGCTCAAAGGCTTGCTTCTGTGTTACAACTCGAATTATTTAGTAGCTAAAGCATGGGCATCAAAGCCAGTTAACGTGATTTAAGTTGAAAGGACTGGTGAGTTAGTATGGGGGAGAAACGAGAAAGAAGAGAAAATTATTTTGCTGAGAGTATGAGATGAAACTGTCCTGAAGAACCATGCTCCAAGGATGGGAGTGACTTGGAACCCGTTGTTGGTAAGCCATTGGAGAAGGGGATGGAGCCGAAGAGAGATAAAGTGGGGAATGTTTGTTGTTGTAGATGAGCTTTGCTACTTAGTAACTGCTGCTAGCTTTATAACACATCATGTTAGGTATCCGAGTATGATTATTTAGTCAGCATCCTGGGGGGAAAGGAAGACACAGATGTAGCAGGAAGGATGAAACCATCTAGCAATGGATGTAAACTCAAACATTGCAAAACCATAGTTTAATGGAATTTTACATATGCTTTATGTAACTTTGCAGCAGAACACTCCCTGTAGATGGGTGATAGGATGTTCATTTTCTAAGATTGGGAAAGAAAAATGTGAGTTGATAACGAAATAACATTTTAAGGTTTCTAAAAACGAGGATTTTTTTTTTCAGTATCAAGACAAAATTCTTAACAATGGACATTTTCATCTTTGGGTAAATTTTATCATGTCTATTTCTTATTTCCTGAATATTTTTGATACATGAGTGAGCTTACTAGTTAAAATGTCTGCTTTTGTTCAGTGATGACAAGTCTTTAAACAAGTGTTCCTGTGGGTAGGGAAGACTGTAACATCACCTGCTTTTTACTTTCCTTGACCTAAAGAAGCCAGGAAGGTTTTCTCACTCCAGAATGTGTGCTATAGTAAACATTAAATCAGGAGATCAGGGGGACATCTGGTTGGGAGGAGAGGAATGATGCTGGCCTGGGTGTTGTAGAGAACTGTTGTCCTGAGGAATACTCTTTTGTACTAATGTTTTGTTGCACTTTTTAAAACAAGCCCTTTTTCAAACACTATAGCTTAATGAACTTACACATACATACATACACACACACACACACACACACACACACACTGTGTAACTCATACCTATCCAGAACATTTTACTAAAAGTGTTTTCTTTTTAAAGCTTGATAATCACTGTATCATTGTGGATTTAAAAAAAACAAAAACAAAAAACAAGACTATCCTGTTTTTAAACAACTCAGAAGGTAATATAGTGAGTTACTTTAAACCCAGAAAACCCACTGGCTTTAATTCTTAAGCAATAGACACACCACAAGTAGTTTTTTGTTATCCTTTTCTTTCTTATATAGGCCTTTGTTTCCCGTGTATCTGATACATTTTAAAAATTGAAATAGGCCCAGGTTTTACAAAATAAAAAGAGTATAAATAGCTGAGTAAGACCAAAGCTGCTAAAATCATCAGTACTTAAAAAAAAACTGTAGTAAGTAGTCTTAAACTATAATATGAGTTTTGCTTCATGAGTATGTTGCCTGGCAGTTTTCTTTTAAAACTCTGACCACTAATTCTAAGAAAGGCCTTTTCAGTTCTGCAGTGGGACTTTCAAGTACTAGTAAGGTCCAGCAGTGGCTGTACATGATTTAATCTTAGCACTCAAGAGTCCAAGCGGCAGGTGGATCTCTGTGAGTTTGAGGCACTCCTGGTCTACAAGAGCTAGTTCCAGATCAGCCTGGGCTACACAGAGAAACCCTGTCTGAAAAACAACAAAACTATTAGGAACTGAGCTCACAGCTATTTTTAAACCTTTAATCTGTTGGATAAAGCATTTCATAATTAGTAATAGAAATGTTCAAATCTGGGGCTGGAGAGATGGCTCAGCGGTTAAGAGCACTGACTGCTCTTCCAGAGGTCCTGAGTTCAAATCCCAGCAACCACATGGTAGCTCACAACCATCCGTAATGAGATTGGATGCCCTTTTCTGGTGTGTCCGAAGACAGCTACAGTGTACTCATATGCATAAAATAAATAAATAAATCTTTAAAAAAAATTTTAAAAAAAGAAAGAAATGTTCAAATCTAAAGTTTCCTAGGATTACACAGTCTATAATTTGTGTTCTTTTCCTCCTCAAGTGGAGAATTTTTTTCCATGATAAGACAGTTTCAGAAATTAATTTTTTCTCATATATCTTTTATAGATCACATTTTATGAAAAGTATAAAAATGCCCCCCCCATTTACAGTGTATCATTGTCCTCAGTAATAATCTTTTGAAGTGATCATGGCTGACACGCTGGGGAAATGTCATCTGTAAAATACCCTTCTGTAAAGCGTTAAAGCTGGAGTTGTAGCTCAGGGTAGATCACTGGCCTTATCTGTGTGAGTCTCGGATTCAACAACGGCTCTCCATTAACACCAGAACTGTTGTCATCAGCCTCGTAAAATTATTGTTGCTGAGTAACTTGTGTTTCTTTGACTTGAGAGTCCAGTGGGGGCAGAATAGATACTTTAGTGGGCTTTGGTGTATGTACTTGCATTTGGTCTTTAATGAAGATGTTGAACTACAGTCAAGGTTTTGTTTTGTTTTCCTGTTTCCCCTTGACAGGAAGTGCAGGAAGAAATGGCAGGCCCTAGTCAACTCTGCATTCGCCGCTGGACTACGAAGCATGTAGCTGTGTGGCTGAAGGATGAAGGTTTTTTTGAGTATGTGGACATTTTATGCAACAAGCACCGTCTTGATGGAATCACATTGCTCACACTGACTGAATATGATCTCCGCTCTCCTCCTCTGGAAATCAAAGTCCTAGGAGACATTAAACGCTTAATGCTTTCAGTCCGAAAATTGCAGAAAATACATATTGATGTTTTGGAGGAGATGGGCTACAACAGTGACAGTCCTATGAGTCCCATGACACCATTCATCAGTGCTCTTCAGAGTGCAGACTGGCTCTGTAACGGAGAGCCCACACACAGCTGTGATGGACCCATCCCTGACTTGAGTTCTGATCAGTACCAGTACATGAATGGCAAAAACAAACATTCTGCTCGAAGACTGGACCCAGAGTACTGGAAGACCATCCTGAGTTGTATATATGTTTTTATAGTATTTGGGTTTACGTCTTTCATTATGGTTATTGTTCATGAGCGAGTGCCTGACATGCAGACCTACCCACCACTCCCAGATATATTCCTAGACAGGTAAGTTTTGTCTCTAGATGCTGAGTTTATAGGTTTCTAGAGTCACACACTGGTAGTGAGTGGGGTAATTGCATTGTGATTATAGCTGAGATGTATGTTCCATTTGCCTTGTCTGGTGCCATCAAAGGATATGCTTTGCCAAGCATGGTGGCCCATACCTGTACTCGGGAAACTGAGGTAGGTGGACCACAGATTCAAAGTCTGGGCAGTGTATAAGAGATATTATGTTAGAATGATGTTTGTAATAGGCTTAGCTGCCTTTCTTTTTAAAAAAATTTTATTTTGTATAAATTAAATTTATTTGCAATAGTACAAATTAATTCAGGGATTGAGTCTGTTCTTATGTACTGAATATATTAAGTAAAAAAGAAATAGTTTATGGCTATGAAAAACAAAAAGAGCAGTAAGGTTTTTACATCAGTGTTCTTTAAAAATAAGCAGTCTCCCCTTCCTTTCCATTGCTGTTGATTGATCCCAGGGCTGAGTGCTCATTGAGCTACATCTGCAGCATCTGTGGGAACATCAAAAAGAGTAATGAGACACTGATACAGAGAATAGTATTCTAGTTAGTACTCAGCCTGCTCACCTCTTACTGTGTACTCAGTGAACTAGTCTTCCTGTCTAAAAACAAAAAAGATAGTAATGGATTTTAAAGGAAAATAATCTATGACTGTAGTAAACAGACGAGAAATATTGGATGAGAAATGAGACTGCCTTAACTGCATCCTTCAGCGAGCAGTTGATTCCGGCAAGCTATTAGTGGATGCTAAAATCCATTTGATGGAAAAGTGCAAAGCAGCAGCATATTCACATGATTGAAGGGTCAATTTCCACATGACTTAATTGCAGAGGAAACAGTGCTGGGACCTGACAAAGATCATCTATAACCAGGTGGTCAGATCCACCCTCACAGTGGAGCAAATTGAACTTATGCACTGGGTATAATGTTCAGAGCATCACCTAGATGATATTCTGATAATCTTGCCCCTCAGAAAATTTTAACCTAAATCTGATCATGAGGAAATAGGTGGACACACAAAAAGGAACCTTGTGTATGATAGCTAATCCAGATTCTCCAGAAATGCCATAATAAACAAAATCCAGGGGGAATCATGAGGGAAATTGAAGGAACATGTTAATTGGATCCTAATCAAGAGGACGTGTTGGGGATGATTGAAAAGTGTGACCATGGGCTGCATGTTAGCTAATGACGCAGCGTCCGTCAGTGCTGCAGGTCTTGGAGCAGCTGCCTGAAGACCCATCCCTGTTCTCAGAGGTATGTGTAGTTTGAGGGAGGTGTATCTGTAGCTTACTCTGGAGGAATCTAAATGTGTGAAACAAAGCAATATGGCAAAATATTACATGTAAGTAATTGGATGACTTAAGTGAAGAGTAGTAAGTACTTAGTCTTATAAGTTTTTCAGAAGGACCAGGATTTAATTTTTTTCATATAAACTGATGGATAGTAAGAGGAAACGGAAATTGGAAACAGTCAGATCATTGTTGTAAGATGAGTGAAGGATTACAAAGAAGTGGTCTTGAAGCTTGATCACAGGGCTCTGGTTAGTTTGGATGAGCCTGTATCATAAGATGGTGTACTGATTGTGGGGATTAGCTGGGGTTTGTTTGTCTTTTTTATCTATTTTTATACATTATTTATATTTTATATTTATAAATATTTATGAAATATGGCATAAATACATATGCCATAATTATATATTATACTTGAAATTGAAGTTATGAGAAGAAATATTAGTAATGTCAAGATTTGGTTTATGACCATTAGTGTAGCTTGCTATGGTAGGGCAAAGGGCAAGACCATAGGAAGAGAAAATAAACATAGAAGGAAGGAAGAATGCCATTGTATACCATTGTGCCAGGAGGAATAATGGGAGAGAGGGAGGAAGAGGCAGGGGAAGCAGGGAGAGAGCATCAGTAAGACGGGGAAATCTGTTTAAATAGAGGTTTTCTTTAGATCTAGAAAATTATAAGAAGTTTTACAGGAAGGAGTTTCAATATAATTTTTGTATGAATATAAGCTTATATTGAATAAAAGCTAAAACAGCTGTTCTTAAGCAAAATTATTAAATAGTGGATGAGAGACACAAAGGAAGAAGGGTGTAGTGTGTGTGTGTGTGTGTGTGTGTGTGTGTGTGTGTGTTGGATGAATATGTGTGTGTCGGGTGCGTGTAAGTGTTACTGGAAGGTTTAATGTGGGATGAAATAGAAGCAACCACCTCTGGGAGCAGTAGTTAGGTTTAGTTTTGAGAAGGAAGTAGATTTACTTTTATCCTAAGTTTATAAAATTATTTAAATGTGTGTGTGTTTGTGTAATTTTTGTGGGGGCAGAGTCTTACTACATAGCCCTGGTTGTCCTTGAACTCTTTTTTTTTCCTTAATTTTTTTTTTTTACACATTGGTGTTTTGCCTGCATGTATGTCTGTGTGAAGGTTCCAGATCTCCAGGAATTGGAATTACACTCAGTTGTGCGCTGCCCTGTGAGTGCTGGGGGTTGAACTCGGGTTCTTTAGAAGAACAGCCAGTGCTCTGAACCTCTGAGCCATTTCTCTGAGCCATTTCCTCATCCCCTGTCCTTGAACTCTTCATGTAGACCAGGCTGACCTTGAATTCAGTGATCTCTGCCTCCTAAGTTCTCCTATGCTGAGAACAAAGATATTTGCTACCATACTTAGCTTATGTATATCATTTTGAAAGTTTTTATTTTTAGGGTGTCATGGCACATGTCCTTGGTTCTAGCAAATTAAACATTTTCTGATAATATATCATAAATTTGTCTCTAGATAATTCTTTTGGCATACATATAAATTTTGCTATTAAGATGAGGACAGAGGGCATCTTCTGGTTTTCAGAGTTAATCAGTTTTTTTTTTAATTAGTCCCCAATTCTGAGACTACCCCACATAAATTCATAATACAAAATGGCAAGTTCAGGATCATTTAGAAATTGTTAGAATCTATTCTAATCCAGAGCCAAAATTTGTGTGACAATTCTTTGTGTTTTGTTTTTTTCAAGACAAAGTTTCTCTGTGTGTCCCTAGCTGCCCAGGAACTCATTTTGTAGGCCTTGCCTGCCTTGAACTCAAGAGATTGCTTGCCTCTGCCTCTTGAGTTCTAGATTTAAAGGTGTGTGCCACCACCTTTTTTTTAAATGACACTCTACAGCAGTTTTTTTTTTTTCATTTGCTTTTTGTTTTTCAAGGCAGAGTTTCTCTGTGTAGCCCTGATTGTCTTGGAGCACTCTGTAGAGCAGGCTGGCCTTGAACTCAGATTCACCTGCCTGTGCCTCCCAAGTGCTGAGATGAAAGGCATGTGCCACACAAAACGCAACCCAAGAGTGTTTTACATGCTAAGGAGTAGCAAATAAAAAAAATGGGTGATTATGTGTCTGTTTTTTATCCAAGCAGAAGACTTGGTATAGACACTGGTTTATCATATACAGCAGTGTTTGAATCTGAGCTGAGGTGTTGCGACAGCATTCTGGAAGAACATGTTTGTGTTCAGAGCCAAGACTGCAGTAAAGTTGTGCAGTACATTGTTGGCTAGATGGACACTACTAGAAACATCTCAGGCTCATCACATGATAGATGAGAAGTTGTTTTTTGGTTGTTCTCAGTTCAGAAACCTTTTACTGTAAGCTATTTTTCCTTATTTGTTTTTTTTCTTGTTTGTTCATTTGCAGGCTCCCTTACTCATTCAGTCCTATAACCCGAAGTTTCAGAAGTTGAGTGCTGGGCTGGAGAGATGGCTCAGAGGGTTCAGAGTGTGCAATGTGTACCACTCTTGCAGAGGACCTATGCCCACTCCAGGCAGCTTGCTGTTGTTGCTGTAACCCGAACTCCAAGGGATCTGAGGCTCTCTCTTCTAGTTTCCTCAGTCTCAGTCTCCTGTATTCACACACACACACATAGACACAATTAAAAACTAAGTCTGATTTTTAAAAAAGCAATTGAATGTGATAGAGTAGGAGGGAAGGGTTGGTTAGTTAGTTAGTTTGTTTGTTTAGAGAACTACTCTAGGAAGTCTGCAACAGAGAGTAGGTTCTCCTGAGTGAAGCAGATTTTCTTCCCCCGCAGGCTTTCCAGATAACAATCTCCTAAGAGAAGTAACGTTCTACAGAGCGGTTCTGGGGTTGCTGTTAGAAAATTGTTATGTTAGAAAGGGTACATCTGCTTGTGTTCAGTTCCAGAAAGAACTGTTTTTCTGTTACAGTGTTCCTAGGATCCCATGGGCCTTCTCCATGACTGAAGTTTGTGGCATGATTCTGTGCTACATTTGGATCCTGGTTCTTCTTCTTCACAAGCACAGGTATTCACTGATTCCTAAAGACTGAGAATGTCTTGAGAATGTCTTGACTCTCTATGTAGGATTGTCAAGCCTGATCCCTTGCTCTGCATTTCCCTGGAAGATTTCCTTTGGTTCAGTGACAAATGAAAATTGAGTTTAGTTAAGAAAGGTTGTAAGACCAATATATTTAATAATACCATAAATGTATTTATAAGGAAAAGGATAGTCAGCCTTGGCCAATCAGTCCTTGCTAGTCTACCTCCGCCTCTTGCTCCTTGTCCTCCTTTCTTCAGAAATAAGCTAGGAATGCACTTCTATAGAAAGAGATAGAAATACTTCCAAGGACGGTGTTTGGTTAAGTGTTTGAATGGAGGAGGGAAAGCCCATTAAACAAGGTTGTCTTCTGTGCTCTGCACATCTGAGATGGTATAGAAGTTGCTAAATGGAGAGAGTGCTTCTTCATAATTTCACCAGGAAGTAACCAAGGGAAGGCATTTTTTTTTTAATTATAAAGACAGCAAGGAAGGCCCCTTTTATACATTAATTAGGATTTAAAAAAGGAAGACAACATGGCTTATTAATGAAGGAACATTAAAAACTGCTTGTGGTTAGCCGCTGCCCATTGTTTTTAGAACCCTAAAAAGGAGTGAGGTGTGTTTTGCAATGCGGGCCTCTCTTCTTACCAGGAAGTTCTGAGATAGCCACATAGATCCTGAGCCGCAGTTATTTTAGTACGCTGAAGGGGAAAAGAAAGAAAGGTTGATGACTGCTATTTTTATCCCATTTTGAGGCCATAATGAACCCATTTCTCATTGTGCATCTCAGTGTCCTGTGAGCACTCATATTTTAAAATGAAATGGTTTAAAAGTGTGTATATCACTGCTTTCTGGTTAACTTTGCCTTACAAGACCCTGTGGACTTGAATCTATCCACTCCTGAAAATAAAAACAAATTGAACCTTGTAAGAAATTCAGGAAAGCTGAGGGCAACTAGCCAAAAATCCAGGTAAAAAAATTTCAGGCAAAATCTGTGGGCATAAAAGTTGTGATCAAAGGCTAGATGAAAATGCTAGGCTTAAAAACTTGATAAAAGGGCTGGAGAGAGATGGCTCAGCGGTTAAGAGCACTGGCTGCTCTTCCAGAGGTCCTGAGTTCAATTCCCAGCAACCACATGGTGGCTCACAGTCATCTTTAATGGGATCTGATACCCTCTTCTGGTGTGTCTGAATCCAGTAACAGTGTACTCATATACATAAAATCAATCTTAAAAAAAAAAAAAAAAAAAAAAAAAAACTTGATAAAAGAATTTAACCTATCTAAGAAACTTTAGTAGACTTAGTGAAGCATAGCAGTGACCAGGTAAATCAGCAAACACCAGGTAGTGATGTTTACTTAAACCAGTAAACCAGATAGTGGTGTTTACTTAAAGAAGATAAATCCAGGAAATATGTTCTCTCTCTCTCTCCCTTCCCCCCCCACCCCCCGTTTTCCTTGTATGTCTGTTTGAAGGTATCAGTTTCCCCTGGAACTCGAGTAGCAGGCAGTTGTGGGGTGCTGGGAATTGAACCTAGGTCCTCTGGAAGAGCAGCAAGAACTCTTAACCTCTGAGCCATCTCTCCACCCTCGAAAATATTTATTTCTCAAATGACATCTTTGTATCACTTTGATTGTGACCCTCTGAAAGGTTGTTGAAATAAATGCAGTTTCCTAAACTCCATCCAGATATGTACACCAAAGACTGAACGTGCCTTGTCTTGTGTTCAGTGCTACTTTTGAGGGAAAGTCTCCTAAACGCTTAGTCTGTTTAGATTTAGGGCACTTAAAGAAATAGTGGCATGAATGATGTCACAGTTTGTGACTACTCAAAAGTTTCTGTTTTAGATATACTTAACATAAAACTTAGTATTTCATAGCTTAAGTTTAAGTTAGGAACAACTTAGAATGACTGTCATATAACCACTCTGTAGTAGATCTCGGCTGACTAACTTTACCCTGCTATAAACAATTTAAGGGTCTAGCAAGATGACTCACTGGTAAAAAGCACTTGATACTCTTCCTAGCAATTGAATTCCCAGTGCCAACGCACGTTCGCTCAGATCCTACACCTCTGGCCCCCAAGGGTATCTGCACTTCCATGCATGTACCCACAGGCGAACACATACCTACACATTGTAATTAAAAACAACAAAAGTAAATCTTAAAAATGGGGTTTTGTTTTTTGAGTAAAGCCAGTGGTGGTGGTGGTGGTACACACCTTTAATCTCTGAGTTCGAAGCCAGCCTGTTTGACAGATTGAGTTCCAGGACAGCCAGAGTTACATAGAGAAATTGGTTTTTGTTTTACTTCAAACCAAGACCCTGGGTGGCTACATTGGGCCATCTTTGTATCTCATAGCAAGTACTGAGTAATTTTTTTTAATAAACTATAATAGTTCTGATACTAAGCTTCCCAGTATTACTTCTGTCTTGAAAAACTCCACTTTCACATGGCCATATTTTACCACTGAAAAGATGTGCTTTCAGATCTGCACTACCTGCACATGGCTATTGTAATTTTAATTGGTTAATATTAAATTCAGATCTTAGTTACATGAGGCTCATTTCAGGTGCTTGAGAGCCACATTGTGTCTAGCTGGCTACATGGTACATAGAACATCCCCTTCACTATAGGATTCTATTGGATGATGACATTTTACATGGTTTTCTAAGAGTCCTCTCCTCTGAATTAGAATAAAATACGATACATTTATAGCTAAACCCATTACTTTGAGTACAAGCTTAATAATAAAACCATATACATATACATATCCCAAATGCTTTACAGAGATGTAATTTAAATGTAATGAAATTTTCTCCCTTTAAGTTAACAGGTCTTCATTTAGTAAACAACTTTTGAGTAAACAGCTGCACAGTCTAGATTTTAGAATACCATCTGAATGTTCCCTCTCATCCTTTCATTACTAACTCCAATCACAGCCCGAGGCAAACGCTGTCACATTTGTCTCTATGGTTTCCCTTTAATACAGAACATATAACTGGTGAAAGATTTCTATCTTAAAGACTAGTGGTTTCTCTTGCTTTCTCTCTGGAAAAGCATTTGATGCCTCGGTGTTTGGAGTGTCTGATTTCTGCTTTGATCACTCTGTTCACAGGTCGATCCTCCTGCGGAGGCTCTGTAGTCTGATGGGCACTGTGTTCTTGCTTCGCTGCTTTACAATGTTTGTGACCTCCCTCTCCGTGCCAGGACAGCACCTGCAGTGTACTGGAAAGGTAGCGCTGCCTTCTCTCTGTTCTCTCCGTTCTTGTTGGATTAATGACTCAATTTATGCAGGACGGTAAAGATCTTGCTTTTTGTGTTAAAATGTGCTTTTTTTGTTTTTGCAATATCAGTAGTAAACTTCTAGAAATACCTGGGTTAAGCAGCCTTAAGCTAGGCTCCTCTCCCTGTGATTTCATCCGTGGATATTAGTCCCATACTGTGGGACTATGGAAACTATTATTCTGACCGTCTTTTTTGCTACATTTCCCTTTCTCACCACACTCAGTGTCTTTTTCACAGTGTTTTTTAGCATGTGCTATATACTATACTGGGTTTCATCATCACCCTCATGTGTGATCACATCTTTCTCCATACACTCAGCCTCTTTAGCTCTTATGTGATGCTGTGGCCCTGTCGTGGCTCTCATTCCTCCTTTTCCTTAAACATTTTCCAGTTCAAATAAGTTCAGTACTCTGTAAACTTTTCCTTTGGTTTTGGTGTGTGCTTTATACATTTTGTTTTGTTGTATTGTAGCTATATCCTTTCTTCTGGTTAAACAGACAGGGCAAATTATGCTGATAGGGAACAAAAGAGAGGGTTGTAAATTTTGTTGTGTTTACTTTAACATCTGGGGTAAGATCTGCTTTTTCAATTTAAGCTCAGTGGTAGAGTGCTTGCCTGATGTGGAGGGTTTGCTAAGGTTCAGTCCCCAGCACCCACCCCTACCCCACTACTTAGTCAAGAACCAATCTATGAAGTAATTTTAAGAGTTGAGGCTCTCAGCTGGGTATAGTACCACACGTTTAATCCCCAGCACTTGGGAAGGCAGAGGCAGATGAATCTCTGAATTTGAGGCCAACCTGATCTGCATACTGAGTTCCAGGACAACCAGAACTATGTAGAAAGACCCAGTCTAAAAGAAACAAAAGTTGAAGATCTCTCCTGTCCTTGGTATACAAAATTGTTGCAAATGGTTAAATTTGGGAAAAAAAAATATTAACCTACTTAAGCAGGCAGAAGACTTGGTGGCTACTTTAACACCTTTATTGGTATTTTAATGTTTGTAAAACAAAATTGGATGTCATTGCCTTTGCTGCCCTAGTAGAAATAGCTGACATGCCAGTTGGGAAGGAAGATTAAGCACCCAGAGGAGCTGAAGAGCTAAAAATACTGCCCTTGAGACGAAGGGGAGCACAGCTCTCCAGGTCCTCATGTAGACCCAGGAGACTGAGCACTGAGAAGAGGCCAATGCAAGTTCATACTATTGAAAGCAGATCTTTTAAGGTTAGAAACTATTGAGACATTTTGTGTTTTTCAATATAGAAAAGCCAGTTTTTGTTTGTTTTTTCAAGGCAGGGTTTCTCTGTGTAGTTCTGGCTGTCCTGAAACTTACTCTGTAGACCATGCTGGCCTTGAACTCAGAAGTCCACCTGCCTCTGTTTTTCAAATGCTGGGACTAACAGCATGCGCCACCACCACTTGGCAGAAAAATATTTTTTTATTATGGAGTTGTACAAGTTTCTTGTAAGAACTCAAATTAGATATGAATGTATGCCCAGAAGTAAAGCTAACAATTATGTCTAGTTGCATGGTCGGTTTGAAGTGTCTTCTTTCTCTCCTTCCTGCCTCTGCCCTTTCTTCTTGGAGGCTAACTCTATGCAGCTGTAGATGGCCTAGAACTCACTATGTAGATCAGGCTGGCCTGGAACTCACAGAAATCCTCCTGCCTCTGCCTCACAACTGCTAGGATTAAAATGCTAGGTACTATGCTCAGCAACACAAACCATGTTTAAGTAGTTTTTATTTACTTCTTAAATTGATACTGATGGACACCTTTCGAATGATGGATGAATTCCAGTCATTCATTCTGTAGCTGACATTTAAGGTACTGCCATGTTACTTTTTTTCTCTTTTGTGTATGTTTGAGGCCTGATATAGATTGTGTGTGTGTGTGTCTGTGTCTGTGTCTGTGTCTGTGTCTGTGTCTGTGTCTGTGTCTGTGTTGAGGCTGAACCTGGAACTACTAGTTCTGCTAGCATGGCTGCCACCTGCTCTGGGGATTTCCAATGGACTATTATACCCAGCCAGCCTTTTTCATCTTTCTTGGCATGGGTTCTAGGGCTCTGAGTTTAAGGCGTGTTTGCTTTGAAGCACTGTACCGATCTCCCTAGCCTTATTAGCTACTTTTTTGAAATGAGTACACAATTATTGCCATCTGTTTAAAAGTTCATCATTTTAATAGCTGTGGGATATTCCATTGTGAGGTCCTCCCCCCCCCCAACCCCCCAGCTTGCAGGTGATGTAGAATGTGGCTGTTCCCAAGTCGTTTTAAACAACGCCATAGTAAGTATTCTTAGATAGGAGAGCTTTTCTGCTTCTGTCTTGTGGAGGGACCTTGACTCCAAGGCTTTGCACATGCTAGGCAAGCACTGTTTACCTCTAATAGTTTGGAAATAGAATTATATTATTAAGGATAGGTACATTGGAATTTGTGACACATAGTCCTAAAATCCTTACTAGTTTTCAGGTATTTTGGACAGAGGCACACATTGTAGCCTTGTACTTTTTAAGTAGCTTGTTCCTTTTGAAGAACAGTAATGAACATCATCCACATTTGTTTTTCATAGTCTCAGACATCACTCAAAAACGTCTGTCAAAAACATTTAAATTTAGGAAGTGGGTATGTGTGCACTCACATGAAAGTGTGCGCACATATCCCAAAGCAAGAATGTATGGTTCAGAGGACAACTCTTGAGAGCCAGTTCTCTCTCCTCTCATTTTGTGAAACCAGGGGTTGAACTCCAGTCATCAGGCCTGCTCACGAGTGTCTGCCCACTGAACCATTTTGCCAGATCTACTCATGTATTTCCTTAACAAAACAAAACAATGAAAAACAGTCACCAGGAGCTGGGCATGGCAACTCATGCCTGTAATCCCAGCATGCAGGAGCTGTGGCAAGAGATTGGCAGTTTGAGGACACCCAGAGCACATAGTGAGGCCCAGCCAGCCTGAGATGTAAGATCCTGTCTGAAAACATTATCAGAGTGGCTTTCCTTCCCTAGATTACTTTGCTTTGTATGCAGACAGATCTTAAGCTTCTCCAAACATTCCTGGTTACTGCTCTCTGTAATTTCCTTTTAAGCAATTGAGAAAATCAACTTTGTTTTAGAAATTACATTAACAAAAAAAGAGATAACTGGAATATAATTTAGTTTTATTAATAACTTGTATAAATAAGTGTACATTCCTTAAGTAGACTGTAGGGCACCACCATAAGGGTGTCCACCATATTACTAACCCAGTTTTTTAGCTGTGTTTATAGCTATCTTTGACTTCAAAACAATTATATCTTTGATTTCTGCCTTAAGAGATTATCAAAGGTTGGTTTTTAGTTGTTTGGGTTTTGTTTTTGTTTTCTTTCATTTTTGTTTTTGCTTTTTTAAGACAGAGTTTCTCTGTCAATCCTTGACTGTTCTGAAACTTTGATTTTTAGATTAGACTGTCCTTGAGAGAGTCTCCTGCTTCTGCCTTCTGAGTGCTGAGATTGAAACGGTGCCCTGCTATGCTAATCTTTGAATCTTAAAGATTAATTTTTAGCATTGAGTGTATGTGTCTCTGGATATGTACATGTGTGTAGGTGGCCACAATGACCAGAGGGTGTTGGATTCCTTGGAGCTAGAGTCAGGCACAGTTGTGAGCCATTCTTCATGAGTGCTAGGAACTGACTATAGAGTCCTTGGAAAGAACAGTATGTATTCTTAACCTCAGAGCCACCTCTCGAGCCCAGTACCAACACCTTAGTCCCAGCAGGCTAAGCTGAGCCACCCACCCAGTGTTACCAATTCAAGGGATGGTAGTGCTGCAAGACAGAGTTGGTCATTGTGGCCACTTTGGGAAGAACAGACACTGGGATCCAGTGACACCCCCCGCCCAACAGCAGTCTTAGTGTACCGATATGAATTTTAGGTTTAAATGGAGGAAAAATGAAGGTAATCATGAGAGGTACACATAGTAAGGCTGCCTTGGTCTAAGTGTGGTCTGGTTGATGATTACCTCAGTCCTTGTTATTGCTTGAGGAGATAAGTCAGTTCCCATGACGTGACTGTCCTTGCTTGAGGGTGATCTCACGATGGGATAACGTGCCCATGATGCTCCAGCATGACTACAGATTTAGGACAATAGGTTTGGAAGGGATACTCAGACAGCTGACAGTAGGCGCCTCAGTTTTCATCCTTATCTTCCCTTGTATCTTCATTTCAGCCTTGAAGAGAGATGAATTAAGTTGAGTAGAAGCCCTGAGTAATGTGCCTTTGAGCAGTTAGGCATGTGACTCCCCCGCAGTAAATGACATAGATGTGCAGAGAAGGCAGAGATGCCAGGCTTTTATTCTGCTTTGGGCCTCCTTGTGGCAGCTAAGGAGTCCTTGACTCTCACCAGGAATGCTCTGGCTGTTGTAGAACAACTACATGATCCAGAGTTGGGTGCTGAACTGTGTCACAGCACTTGTGCACATGCTTTGGCAGTGGTGACAGTGCTGCATTTGATTGAAGGTGGAGATGACTGGAGATGGAGGGCTACACTTCATCCTTAGCAGCATGCCACTTGGCTCACTTTCTCGCCCACACTGCTTAGTGTCAGTCTTAGTCATTGACAGCTAGTTAATGAAAGACAATAGCTAATGTTTTATGGTCTTCTTGAAATTGTTTCTGTACGTGTTTGAAGTGAGGGTAAAAACATTTTCCCCCAATAGTATGCTAACTGATTAGGAAATTCAAACTAAACTATAGACAAACTATAGCAAAGTTGTGTTTTCCCTCAGAAAGTTTGACAATTTTAGTATCAATGATTAACAAAAGAAAGGACATATAAATTTACTAATACAATAGAGCTATGTAAAGCTTAGGAGACTCCCAACATGTTGACATAAACTTCATGTCTTTCCTTATGTAAAGGAACAAGCGACATGGAGCTTTTGGAGGCGTGGAGTGGTAATACAAACTTTGGCAAGCTCAGAAAAGGAACTACTTGGTCATTAATGACAGTCTCATTGTCCTGACAAGATTCCCCAGGTAGCAACATGTGGACACCTGTGCCATCTCTGTCTGGGCTAGAAGGTGTCAGACTCACAATCTCTGCTTCCTGCAAAAGGTCTTTCCTAGGCAGATCTGGAGATATCCACACTTTGTGTTTGCATCTCTTGCTTAATTAGTAAAGATAGATACTTCTTTTTATTCAAGGAGAGATTTTTCCCTCTTTTTTTTTTTTTTTTTTTTTTGGTTTGGTTTGGTTTTTCGAGACTGGGTTTCTCTGTGTAGTTCTGGCTGTCCTGTCCTGGAACTCACTCTGTAGACCAGGCTGGCCTTGAACTCAGAAATCCGCCTGCCTCTGCCTCCCAAGTGCTGGGGTTAAAGGCGTGCACCACCACCGCCCGGCTCAAGGAGAGATTTTTAAACCTACTAACTACCTAGTGCAGTTCTATGAATAACCAGATCCAAAGATCTGAAAGGAATATATTTGAAGTGGAACATTTTGCTTTCTTGTGAAGCTTGTTATATGGATAAGAATTTCCTGATAAACCTGAGAAGGTTTATCAGAACAGCCTCTTAAAAGAAGGCTAGATCTTTGTGCAAAGAACCTTCTCTTGTGCTACTAGAACAAATCAGATGTCACTCTCTGGTATGGGCAGCTCTCTTTCTGTCTCCAGTGACTTTTTTTTTTTATTAATTAGTTAATGTATGGATATTTCCATCCAAATCTGCCCTAAATTCTGCTAATTGTTTTAAAATATAATGTTGTCTGCCTATTGACCTACATTATTTATAGCAATCATAAAAAGTAGAACATTATGGGATAGCAGCCAGATGTCAAATACCTTACAGTGAGGCCAACGGAGGCATTTCGTTGTGATAAGTTAATGGCTTAAAATCATGGAACCAAGACAGAACCAAGAACATGCCTATTTTTAAAACTTAACAATACAAAGCTAATTTGCATATTATATCTAGACAATTTCCTATTCATTCTTTTCTATTTCAGTTCTCTTTCTAGGAGGATATATGAGAAATACAGAATGGGAAAAGATGAAAAAACTTAAATTACTGAGTGTTAATTATTTATTTGTCTCCTATCCTTAATTAAGATATTATCCAGCCTGGTAGTGGTGGCACACACTTTTAGTCCCAGAACAGAGGCAGAGGCAGACAGATCTCTTGAGTTTGAGGAAAGCCTGGTCTACAGAGCAAGTTCCATGACAGCTAGAGCTACACAGAGAAACCCTGTCTCAAAATACCTCTCTCTCTTAACCACCTCCCACCCCAGTACCACCAAATGTTCTTGTATGATTGACTTACCAAACATCTATAACCCTTTTGTCTTTCTCTTATTACTATCCTACCTGAGACTTGCATCTCCAGGCCAGATTGTGGACCTCGCTGGCTGCTGGAGCTTCAGTTCCATGTTCGGGTTGTAGGTAGAGTGCAAATGGGAGTAGAAAAGAGCTCCTCCACACGCCTCTGTACATGTCCTATAGATCATCCACAGTTTTGCTTACAACTTACTGTACAGAGCATGCCTCCCTGAAGCTATAGGAAAGGTCTGGAGGGATAAGATCTGGTTGATTTCATGGTCTCACCAGTGTATGTGTTTCTGTGACCAGTGAAGACAGGGAGAATAGTTATTAAATGATAGCCTGGAAGTTACAGCACATTTATTTCCTTGCTGCTGCTTCTTTTTATTTGTTTATTTTTTTTATTTTTATTTTTCGAGACAGGGTTTCTCTGTGTAGCCCTGGCTGTCCTGGAACTCACTCTGTAGACCAGGCTGCCCTTGAGCTCAGAAACCTGCCTGCCTCTGCCTATCCAAGTGCTGGGATTAAAGGCATGCACCACCACTGCCTGTCGTGCTGCTGCTTCTTTTTAATATTTTTTAATTTTTTCCTTTTTTAAAAGAAAGTTAGAGCTTATTAAAAATATTTTAACAGTGATTTAAACATGGACATTATGGGAGAAAAGTAAGTAAGTAAATAAAATGTGGATGTTAGGGTCTGGGAGTTGCTTCAGAAACCACTCAGACACAGATCTCAGTCAAACAGGGCTGGTTTATTGAACACATACCCTAAGACTGATCCATCAGGGACACAGTGCAGACTCAGGTGCTGAACTGTGACACCCAGCTAGACTCCTATAGAGCTTTTAAGCCTGAGATCCGAAAACATCTGTGCTAAGTTATTCTGCCAGTCAGGATTTAGGGATAGGAGATTTCCTTAGGAACAAGTTTTTGTTGTACACTTATCCTGTCTTCGTTGGTTGGGGTATTCCACTATGGCAGGGCATTTGCCTGTCTAACATTCATTCAACCTCCTATTCAAAATGGAAGTTTTACTCCAAATGGCTTCTTATATTGGTGCAGGTGTCTTTCTTATGTTGGTGTCCATCCCAGGGCTAACTTATAAAGGCAAGAAACCACAAAAGCTCATACATAGGTGCAGGAAATACTGCTGGGTGGTTGGTTCAGGTCCAAGCTTATTGTGACTAAGTAAACAAAGGAGTTCTAACTGACCTCCATTGTAATTAGTTCCCAAGAGCATCAAAGCACAGAATGTAACAGAATATGCAATCAGTTCGAGAATGAGGAAGGGTCCTAGTAGCCACACTTGGGAAGTCTCCTTATAACATTAGTAATAGCACAAAATGGCAACAGTGACCTAGGCCTTAACATTGGGGTGTTCTGTTTTGCAGTGACCGTTTGAGGCAGGGTTTTTTTGGGGGGTCACTGTGCCTGTTTTGGAACTTGCTCTGTAGACTAGGTTGGCTTTGAACTCAGAGATCTGACTGCCTCTGCCTCCCAAGTGCTTGGATTAAAGGCATGTGTCACCACTGCCTGGCTGCTTGTTTGTTTTAAGATAAAATTTCATGTAACCTAGGCTGGCCTCTGTGACCAAGACTAGCCTTGGACTCCTGCTCTTCCTGCATCTGACTCTGAAGTGTTGGGATTCTGAACAGGTGCCATCATTCTTGGCATTGACCTTTGCACTTTTTGCTTTTGTTATTATCTTGAGATGAGGTCTCTCTGTGTAGCCCTGGTTTCCGATATGTAGACCAGACTGGCCTCAAGCCCACAGAGAGAGATATACTGGCCTCTAAAGTGTTGGTGTATGAGCATATTTTATATGCCTGCCTTGACCTTTTTGTTTTAAAGGAACTACTATAATGGAGTTTGAATTACAAGGATTTCATTTAATTAGCATTTTCTAAGTACAGTCAAGCTTTGGTCATTCTCTCAGCCCACTTTGAATTAGCTGAGTTAGACTGTTTGCCTTTATCTGGATGCTCTTATTTCTCAATTATTCCTCATGAGTTGCCTGAAATGGATTTGGGGAAGCTCTGAACTTCACTAAGCATTTGAAGAACTAACTCACAGCTTTCTTTATAGATATATGGAAGTGTGTGGGAGAAACTACACCGGGCATTTGCCATCTGGAGCGGCTTTGGTATGACTCTGACTGGCGTCCACACTTGTGGAGATTACATGTTCAGTGGCCACACAGTTGTTCTAACCATGCTGAATTTCTTTGTCACAGAATGTAAGTAGGTCTTTAATACTTCTATGCATATTAGCTTGTTGCAGAGGAGGTCCTGGGGAGGATGTAAAGTCCTAGAAAGAATAGGCAGCTGGGGTGGAATGGACCTCAGTCACTGGAGTGTTTGCCTGCCACCTGGGAAGCCCCGGGTTTGATCCCCAGCACCACATAAAGCCATGTGTGATGGCAGATACCTGTAGATCCTAGTTCAGGTTCATCCTCAGCTACATATCCAGGTCAAGGCAGCCTGGGCTACATGAGGCAGAGTTGAAATAAAGCAGATGGGGCAGAGGTTAGGGGAGCAGATGCTTCTAGCTTACCCTGAGAACCATGTGGCTAAGAAGCCTGGGAGGGGGTGTGTTATTAAATGGCCCTTCTGTCCTTTTCCTAGATATGTGTTATTAAATGGCCCTTCTGTCCTTTTCCTAGATACACCAAGAAGCTGGAATTTCTTGCACACTCTATCCTGGGTTCTCAACCTCTTTGGAATCTTCTTCATCCTGGCTGCCCATGAACATTATTCCATTGATGTGTTTATTGCCTTTTATATCACAACAAGACTCTTTTTGTACTACCATACTCTGGCTAACACCAGAGCGTATCATCAGAGTAGGAGAGCGAGAATTTGGTTTCCTATGTTTTCTTTCTTTGAATGCAATGTTAATGGCACAGTACCTAATGAATATTGTTGGCCATTTTCTAAACCAGCAATAATGAAAAGACTAATTGGATGAAGACTCTCTCTCTCTCTGTAATGAGTTTGTTGTTAAATATACAGTAGTTATGGAATGAAAGTGAATACCGTTGCTTTGTCCCAGGCTCCTGGATACGTTGCATTTTGGCTTCTGTGTTGACAGGTTTCCCGTTCTGAGCAAGGCCATGACTATAAAACTCAAGAAAGAACACACAAGACTCCTTATCTAGCTGTTTGAATGGAGAGGTCAAGGAGAGAGTTTCCGCCCCTCCCTGTAGGAAGACCCAGTGTGTGGGTGATGTCAGGCCATTGCCTGTGCATGTTGAGTGTCTGCTTACTGAACTCAAGCACATCAGCTTGGGCTGGGTGAAGAATTTTCACTGATTTCCAGTAGGACTCAAGTCAAGAAATATTTTTTGAAGCTGGCTTTCCTTACCTAGTGAGCCGTTCTAATGTGTTCATTGAACTAATCTATGTCTGTCTGCAGAGTGAGTGTCTTTCTGGTAAATATGTTTTACCTTTTGAGCCATTTTAAAGAAAAACTCATTGAACACAGCAGCTTTTGTGAAACGAGAATGCTAGGGCCACATGTGAAGTGACACGCTGGTCAGGGGTCCCTGGTCTTCCCACTAGTGCAGGCCCGGGGTCAGCATTTCAGAACAGGTGCAGTGTCAGTTGCCGTTCCTGATCTCTTGGGAAGTATCAGTGTGAACAGCAGAAAGGATTCATGAGGGGAAATGGCTGTGTTCCTAATAGTAAAGTGGTGTCATTATAGTGCTGTGAGTATCTGGAATAAATGCTTGTTGTGTTAGTTAGGCAGATGACCGCCCAATATAATGCTTTTTAAATAATGAGACTTAAGTAAGACAAATGAGTGTTACCAGATGTTAAAGTTCTTATGTCAGTGAGTGAGTAAATGTGCATGCAAAGAATTCTTTTCTTCTGGAAAAAAACAAAGAAAACAAAACAAAAAATAACAAGCTATAGGCATAGTGTTACTCTCTGGGGTGTTTCCTCTTTTTGTTTTTCCCTGAAAGTTCTCATTCCTGACCATTGAAAGTAAACAGTCTGAGACATACTTGGACAGAAAAAAAGCTTCTTACTTTTTATTTTAAAAAATAATTGTATACATACGTTCTTTCTATAGTCTTAATTTGGCAGTTAAGAACTAAGTACTTTAGCTGCTGTTTACATTAGAAAATTACCGTCAGTAATTATTGTCACCTCTCTAATACCATTTGTCACTTTATTTTTTATTGGTTGTACATAACAGTTTTAACCTTAGCTTGGTTGTAGAATTGGAATACTAATTGTATAGTTTTAACCTTCCATTTTAAAACAAGGACTCTCAAGAGCTGCAGGCACACGGAGATCACAATTACACCACAGCAGGCTATGTCTGTCCCTTCTCTGTCTGGGTGAAACGTTCATTTTTGCAGTTGGAGTCATAGTCCCACCCTCTGGGAAGCCACCTGAGTGAATTAGGCAGGAAGGGGGTTATTAGACAAACAGGTCTCAGCCTGTGCTGAGCGACCCTACTTTGAGTATGCTGGAGGCATCACTCGTTCTCACCTGAGAGGTGATGTAAAGCAACTCAAGGTCAATTATGGTTTTAACTCTTATACTTCAGTATACTTGCAGTATTTTAAATTATTGATTCTCTTACAAGCCAGGATCAAAAATGCCAATATCTCATCTAAAGAAACTGCATAATCATGAAGAGAAGGTTGGCCATACTTGTTTGAGTAGTTTGACTTAAAGTCAAGGGATTTTACTGCTACCCCCTCTTATTACCTGCCCCCTGACACACACACACACACACACACACACACACACACACACACACACAGAGCAGGATCCAATTTACCTGGGGAGAGGGGGAGAAACAGTGTTAGCTTTTGAGAAAATGTTCCAAAACCATGTGTCTACATTAATTGTAAAATGCTAACTATATTAATGGTAAATACCTTAACATCAGGCTTCTCTCCTCCATATGGATTCTGTCATAGAACAAAATAGGGAAACAGGTGCAGCTAGCAGTGCCATGCAGAACTTCTGGTGGTGAGAGTGCTTGACAGCAGCTTGCAGTACGGACTGGGTGGCCTTGTGGTCACTCCTGTTTGTTTTGAGGAAAAAGGTAAGCTAGATACATAACCTAGTAGCTATTATAAGACAGTGTTTACGTGAGCTAATCCTCTTCAAGTCTCAAAACTGAGACAAAATTATTTCTTGGTTTTTGTCTTCACACCTTTTTTGTTATTAAAACCTAACCATAATGAAGATAGAATTTATGTTTACATTTTGGGCATGGTGTGGCTACGTGCAGAGGCTCCATGCTTTTGAACCCTGTGTTTGACTCTGCAGTTGTGTAGGCTTTTATCCTTGACAGCTTAGTACAGAAGCAAGAAAAGGTTTTGAGTTCTTGGGGATGCAAAGGATGGATTGCCTACATTGTAAAAACCGTGTCGCTACAGTATCTTACTGAAAGGTAGAAGTGCTGGTAGGAGAGGAACCAGGTTTTGTGGAACACAAGCTTGCTCTCCTCACCACATACTTTTGGCAGAAAACTTTGTGTTGCAGTTAGTTCCCAATGAGGCTGTCCTCCAGTTCTCTTTGCCCAGAATTGCTGTGGCAAAAAAAAAAAAAAAAGCAATGGACTTCATCCTAGAACCAATCAATTTAATAAACGTTGGCTGTAACCAAGAAAAACCACTTCCAAGAGTATAACATTGCCACTGTAAGTGGTGATCAACCCCATTCTGCCTGCCTGTTACGACTTAGAATTGAAAAATTTGTAATTTATAAGTGGGGAACAGAGGCACTGAATCTTTCTATAGCAGAGAGGAAGTAGTCTTTTAGGAACTTTTGTACAAAATGTTTTTTTTTTTGGGGGGGGGGTCTTGTTTTGTTTTGTTTTGTTTTTTGTTTTTGGAGACAGGATTTCTCAAACTCAGAGATTTACCTGTCTTTGCCTCCCATGCTGGGATTAAATGTGTGTACCACCACACCCATCTTTTTTGTAAAACTTAAATTCATATAAATTCAGATTCATGGCAAAAATCTATTTTCTTTGTATGCAGCAAAAAGCATTTTTATCATTGAAAGATTCTAGATCCAAAATGTTTAACAATGTTTACAATATTCTTGACTTAAACTCTCTGATTTAGTACACTTAATTATTTGATAATATTTGTGGATAGAAATCCCATAATGAAAGCAGATGGTACAGTGACCTGTCAGCCCTCTCAGGTTGTCAGACTTGGGAGACAAAAAAGATCTTTAGCCCACTTGCTTCCCTTCATACCTTCGAGCCACCAGAGCCTGTCAGGGGTTGGTTGGTTGGCTTAGGGGTTTTTTGTTTTGATTTAGTTTCTGGGTTTGTTGTTGTTGTTGTGGTGGTGGTGGTTGGTTGGTTGGTTGGTTGGTTGGTTTTGATTTTTTTGTTTGCTTGTTTGTTTGAGACAGGGTTTGTCTGTGAGAACTCTGTTCTCCTGCCTCTGCCTCCCAAGTTGCTGGAATTAAAGGGGAGTGTCACCACCACTGCCCAGCAAACATGTCATGATTTTTGTTATTGTTGTTTTTGATTTTTGTTTGTTTTTTTTGACACAGCGTTTCTGTGTATAGCCCTGGAACTCACAAGCATGTCAGTTTGAATGGCAACTTTACATGACAGTTTGTGTTTATTAAAAGTGAGCTTAGCCCCAGTCACCCCTGTCTGTACTTCTGCAGCTGAGGATTAAAGATCAAAGATGCTTCAGGCGACCTGATGCAAAGAGAAAGGGTTTTGTTTGTTTCTTTTTCTTATGAATAGCTTTAAATGACTAAAATTATTGTAAAAGTAGGTATTGATTTGCCTGTAATTTTAGTGGCACTAATTTCACATAACTAATGTGATGAATTACTGTATCAAGTTCAGTACAAATGTCTATGGACTCTAAGCTATTTCTCCAGCTACACTAAGTTGTTTTTGAGGATACATTCTACTCTGTGTTAATCAAAGGACTCTCTATTCTTTGTATTTCCTGTCTAGGCATAAGGAAGCTTTGTGCTTTGATGGGAAAAAGAATGTTTTATTGTTTGTTTGTTTTTTCCGTTGTTACTTCACATCTCTTTTAATCTGAACTACTGGATTGTCTGAAGAACAAAACCAAGCCTGTTGTTATTAACATCCTCAAAATGTTTAATTTTAATAATTTTTCATTGAATTCATAGATTGTTAGGATAATGAAATATGTCTGATATGGAACAAAGGAAATGAAACTGATACTCAGTGGGGAAGCAGGTTGCTTGGACTAAACCAGGCACGCTTAGTTTTGAAAATTCTACCTAAATGTCTCCCTATCCACAGAGAAACTAGTGTTACTTGAAGATATGAAAGTTCCTATGGTAGCCATACCTTGAAGCACAGTGTTGTACATAAGTAAATAACTGATTCTAAATTAAATCCAGATTTAACTAATATATATTATTTTATAACTTTGTTGTATTAAAATGTTTTAAACACTAAAAAAATAAAACATTTGAAAGTTGATATGCAGTTTCTTATTTAAATATCCTTGCACTGTTAACATAGCGTGTCTTTATTGTTTCAGACAGAATCTTGCTGTGTAGTGTGGTCTGGTCTCAAACTTGTCTGTGCCTCCTGGCTTTGACTTGCTATCCTGCATCAGCTTCCTAAGTGTTAGACTGTCAGGTTCAGTGGATTTTGGGGTTTTTGGTTTTTTTCCAAGTGGTTAAACACTGTAACTTAAGGAAGGAAGGAAGGAAGGAAGGAAGGAAAGAAGGAAAAAAGGAAGGAGAAAATTTAAATTGCATTTCATAGTACACACATGGAGGTCAGTAGACAGCTCAGAGAAGCCGGTCACTATTGTGTCTCAGGGATTGAACTTGGGTTTTCAGATTTGGTGGTAGCCTGTGCATTTACCTATTCTGTATTTACTGACAAATACCTACTATGCATTTACTGCTGCATAGCAACTTTAAAGCCGTAGAGTGTAATGTGTGGCATTTACTAACTCTCAGGTAATTGTTATGTGATAGGAAGCTGAACAGAGGAAATGCTTGCAGAGCACTTGTCTAGCATGTAAGGCCTTGGTTTGA